TSSTYCTTSTTKWTTMTTSTKGTGRWSAAMRARGAGSMASCARMAMAWMMYACCASMAGMAGYMRKCAGSMRGSAGGARSWASWASWASAACAAMATCACAGAATTTTCAGAGTGATGTGGTACACAGGATAATCTTGTTCCCAAAGAAAAGGCCTAGTTCCAGTTATSTAGTACAGTACAAAAAGGCCAACAGTGAGTGATGGTGTGAGTGGTGTGGGTTGCGTTCATAAAYTAACAAGGCCATAATTATTGAAAAGGAYAATACAGGACCCCATGACAAGGCAAGTATTARAGAAGGCTGGAACATTACTGTTAAAACTCAACCACCAAGAAATCCTCCTGACTGGCTTGTTCTTGAACTTGCTTCACCTTGGATTCTTCAGTCAATTCAAAGTTTTCACCACTACGGCAAGCAATAGCTAAAGGAGATTGCTGATCATTTGATCTCCAGCACCGTATTTTTATGCATGCCAAGATGAGGCACATTTGAGATTCATTTCTGTTTCTACTAGTTGTAGTAGTACTAGTTGTTGTGGTATAATTACTAGTAGACTAGTAGTAGTGCACTCCAACAGACTGTCTCACCATTTCAAATATTTGTGATCCAAGCAGCATCATTCTTGCAGCAGGAGCAGGGTTATGTAAGAAACAGCAATATTACTGATGTATTATTATTTGTTGTATGGTTGTCCTAAATTAATAGTATTAGGTAAACTAATTCAAGATTGAGAACAAAACTACTAATATCTAGTAGTGGTGGTAGGAGTATTTGAGAGTGAAGAGATGCGTAGTCCACTTTTTCTTGGGTTTACTACTAGAGTACTACTAGAGTACTACTACTAGAGTACTACTACTAGAGTACTACTACTAGAGTACTACTACTAGAGTACTACTACTACTACTACTACTACTACTACTACTACTACTACTACTCAAGGCCTTGGCACAGACATGGCGTGTTTGACTGAGAATGTGGCGCTGCATCCATCACACCTCTTGGGGAGGTGGCAAGAAGAGCTGAGGCAAAATCTCAGTTTGAGGTTGTCCTGGAATTTCTTGTTTGCTGACAACACTGTCCCAATGAGGTTATGGTGGGGTGTTGCTGTCAGCCAGGCACCAGTTGCAATGGCCCTCTGGTCTTGTTACTACATTGGTCTTCTGGATGCAAAACGCCCCCACCATATTGACTGGTGAGATTTCTRCTGTAGGCTGGTGCTCTAATCTGACTTGAAAGAACCTTGTCATTGCAGGCCTGAAAAGCTTGATCATCTGTCTTGGGGTTGGTAGGTCCATCTCTGAGACGGGCCTGAACAAAGAGATCATCTATGAGAGGGTGAGGCATTGGATGTCACTTGCCTGTTTCACGCCGTGCACCTCCTGCAAGATAACTGCCACAAAAACCAGTGGACATTCCAAGTTCCACTCTCACAGGCACCACACTACTTGCAGTTCATTGCAAAACCTCTGGAGAAACATCTTCCCTGTGTGATTCTGGGGAACTAGGTACTGTCTAGGTCTGAGGTTGACAATCCGTTTCCATCTGCATTGCCAGAGTGCATCATCAGTGATGTTAGTAGTACTGGTGAGGTGGGTGCCAGGGTTCTTGTTGTGAACACRATCTCCATAGATCTCATCTAGTTTGGAATCTGCCTCAGTGAGCATGTAGTTGGGGAGATCTGCTCCTGCATCTGGAACTGGTAGATCTGGCCAAATAGTGTTTGTATGAATAGGGGTTGGAGAATCTGGAGGCAGTGGTGTTTCAGCACAGCGTGGAGGAAGAGCTGCCCTTGCTGCTCTTTCTGCATTTATTGCCTGAACTTCTTCCACAGTCCTGTTTTCAGCCTCTGGATGATAATGGGCCTCATTCCTTCTCTTCCTTTGCTGTTGTTGCCCTCACTGCCTGGCCCATGCTCTTGAATCCAATTGCCTTGTTGGAGGTGCAGATCTGGCTTCCAAATCCAAATGAGCCTCCAAATGAGGCACCAGGAAAGCCTCCAATCTTGGTTGAGAACACAAACTCAGGCTCCTTGCAGCTGTGGATCAGACCGTATCAGTTCCAACAGCAGCATTGGCTGCCACCTTCAGAGGAGRCCTCAAGGCAGTGGTAGCTGCAGGTGCAGCTTCAGCTGTGCTAGCAGCAAAGAAACGCAATGCCACTGAAGTGGATGCAGCAAAATGTGAAACCCCTGGGGAATCACAAAGTATGTCATCCATAGCAGCAGTGGATGTGTACTTGGCTGAGACATTGGTGATCCTTTTCCCTTGGGCCCATCCTCATTGGAGGTCAAGTGCCACAAGGTGTTGAGTGTTTGAATCCTGTGTTAGTGGCTGATCYGCTTTGTTGGGGTTGTTGTTGGTGTTGGCCAGTGGCTTGATATGTGCAGTCCCCACGCTGTTGCACTGGGGGGGGGGGGGGGAATTGGGCCTGTCCTGGAGCCCCTGGAGGGGGACCAAATGCTGCTGGATCAGCACCAACTGGGATGCCAATAGCAGGTTGAGGAGGGGGAATGGGGCTTTGGAAGAAGGATCCACCAATACCATATGCAGCAGCCTCTAGTTTTGTTGTGAGTGCCAGTTCCTTATTCTTGGTGCATTTAGCAAGGYAAAGAGAGCTGACACAGCAGCTCCTTCCAGCCCCCAAGCAACTGCACCCCCCTTTAACACCACCCCCTGCCAGGTGTCGTGAGCATGCAAAGAGGCCTGTGCCTCTTTCCATTGCCATTGTTGTTGCTTTGGTCGGTTTTGACAAATTTTTATCCACTTTTGCCAAATCCTGATATTCTTGCTGTGTAGGACAAAGCACAAATCCTACTACATGGTTGGAAAAATTCAGCAACTGTGACAAATGACCACTTCAACCAACACTCCAGAACAACTCAGACTTTTCATGAGCCCCGGGGGAGGTCTGTAGAGCCTCCAGCCTAATTCTGAGCACACGCCTGAGGTCCTCAAACAAAGTGCTGCATGATGATCATTTTCTGATGAAAAGACGGATGTTTCTGATTCTAATTACAGTATTATTTTACAAAATTCTACTGAGTTAGAAGTAGTACTAGTAGAGTCGTGCAGGGGACATCAAAAAAGGTCTCTTACAGTAGGAACGATACGGAGAAAGTGCATAATGACWCTTAYTCAAATTGGTCCAAGAGATGCAAAGAGCGAGATWATAGGTTGTAAGGGTCCGGGTACTGTACCGTACGATACCACTTGTACCAGAAGTGCCATAATTGATAAAATGACCACTAAATGACCGATGGCTTCAATCGGCATCGTCGTGAACCGTCACGTTCATTGCGGTTCTGGTTCGGAACCTGAGTCGACAAAAACAAGAATGGAAAGATCAACCAACTCGCCAATTAGAGCGGACAGAGATCCGCACCTCCTGGAAGGTATTAATATCAATTCCAGAAAAATCAGCTTCTGACATTTTAGTCTGTTCTGCCAGCACGGCCACTAGTGATTTTGAGTACGGACAAAATTTTATCCTAAGTCCTTTTTCTCGACAAAATTACTTGTGCTGAGAAGCCATGTATGAGCACGACTAGATCCTTGKGAAAGCAGTCTTCAATAATTGTTTACGGGAACAATTATCTTAAATGGACACAAATTTTGGTCGCGGTGTCTAATTCATACCGCACCTTAAATTTCCAACAGAACGTTCGTAGTGTACAATTGAGACATTGTAATACTAAACGGTACCGTACAGAACTGTAGTGACCTTTTCTCCTCTACAGAGTTGCGTGTTTCGTAGCTTTTCACAGTATTGTATGGTACGATACATACCGTACCTCTCCGATTCGATGATCTTTTGGTACGGTGCTACCGTGCACTAAAGGTACGGGTATGTCCTCTCACCATTGGCGCATACAGTAGAAAGGGGAAGAACCGTGTGCTAGCTACTAACACCGCCTAAAACAGCCATGCGTTAAATGTTCAACAAAAGGAACGAAGAGTCTTTCACGAACTAAATTTCGCAACACAGCGTACTTAGAGAAAGATCAGAAACAACAAGAAGGTCACCGCCATCAGCATCAGCATATAACCTAGTCATCTCCATAGAAGGTACCCCACAACGACAGTCCTGGTGACATTAAGGCAAGACACTTTTGTTTTAGGCTCTGATACTCTTGAGAGATAAAACCGAGTCCGAGAGGCAAAATAGAGGTCTAAGAAAAACAGAATTAAATATAGTTCGGATGCACCATTGGAAACACCACATCATCTAACTCTCACAAAATAATATAGGATGACCTATAGAAGACGGAGTGATGTTCAGACGAGGACCGATGAAAGCACCAAGCGACATGGGAAGATGAGTGGGGAGTCTTCCGTTGATTCGAGTTCCTACGATGCCACGGAGAATTTGACAGACACCGATTCATCGGCCCAGATCAARTCCTTCTCTCGGCGGATGAGCAGTAGCGACTACAACCACAATCATGTTGATGCATGTAGCCGTAGTATCAACAGTACAAGTTGTCGCAGTTTGAACAGTAGCAGCGAAATCGACCGCGACGCTACGGATCGGGTTCGATTTGCCTTGAATGCCCTTCGGTTTCACGAGGTTGAGTCCCACAACAATTTTACCGCCAAGGAACGGAGCAAGTATTGGTGGAGTGATCGGGAGAAGGATCGGATGATGGCCAAACATGAACGTCTGGTGGCCAAATATGAACAGCAGAAAGCGGGTGCTGGATCGAAATCAGCATCATCGAAAAAGAGCAACACCAAGGCAATTCAAAGTTATCGCGGGCTTGAATCATGGACGGCTGCGGGCTCTCTCAAACTAGATTACACTATCGAACAGTGTATTACGGCAGTGATGGACGAACAGGATCGACAGTGGGCCGAGAACGCGGATGATGCCGAAATTATCGCCCAGATGTCAATGGCGGTTACGGAAGATAGTGCCCGTCGCGCCAGACTAAACGGCCTACAGGATGCCCAGGAGGCCCTGAAAGTCCGAAGCGAGATGTGGGGTAAAGTTACCGGAGACGACATGAGTGTGGGGTCGGCCGTCAGTACCGGAACCGCTGCGTTRGTGAAGAAGAAGAAACGAAGCAAGCTTTTGGCCAGGTTGGATGATTCCGCCAAACTAAAGAAGAATTCGAGCAACAGCAGTGTTGACGACGATGYGTTGTCGAAGAAGAGCAAAGACAAAAAGAAGAAGAAAAAGAAGAATTCTAAAAAGAAGGACCAGTCCTCTGTAACGAAGGAGAAGAAGAAATCATCTAAGGCGAAGTCTAGCAGCACCAAGAAGTCCCCCTCTATTGGAGATGAACAGAAAGCCACGGAAGAAGTTGCAAAAGAATCTCTGGATGTTGCTGACGACAATGCGACTACTGCAACTCCAAAAAGCGGACTATTATCCGCTTTTACGGCTGGACCAGAAGTTCCAATTTCGCCGCTCTCAACGCACATYTACGCCGGACCCTCCTCGGCAAATTCGAACGAATGTCCACTACTGGCGACTCTACGCCGCCAACAAGAACAACTGCGACAAGAATCTGGAGTGCGTAACGATAACAAGAACCTGACATCTGCAAGATCAATAACCCACCTTCGTCAGTACGAAGAAGAAGAGGAAGACGAGAACGACCTCAGTGTCTCCCCACTCCTCCAGACTCTTCGTCGTCAACAAAAGAAGCAAGCATCCGCACGACTGCAGGAACAGAGAGCAGATCCAAGTTCTGCTGGTGCTCTGCAGAAATCCAGGAACTCACGYGACGACCATGGCAGCAGGACGGGAGATAGTGAGTCCGCCGATTCTTCGGATCCCCCGGGACGCCGTCCGAGGAGGCTCGTGTCGAGGCATGTTGAAAGCGGCATCCCCGAGGAGTTTTTGGCAAGCAGTGGCGACAAGAGCTCCCTGGAAAGGATCAAGGAAAGCAGCGATGACCGCAGTAGGTCCAAGTCGAGAGAACGCAGTAGTYCCAAGCCTCGAGAGAGGTCACGGTCACGGTCTGCGAAGCAATTGATTTCRTCTTTCTCTCTTGGTTCTCCAACGACTACAGATGAGACACCTGCCAACCCAAAAAGCCCTATAAATGCGAGCAAGAGAAGCCTTGGTCGATTGCGAAGTTCAGCGAAAACGCTCTTCAAGAAATCATCCAAGAATATTTGAGGGGCYGTTTGATTCATAATCTGTTTCGTTTGTAGGATGCGCGCGTGGTGCATGCTAGTTGTTATGGTGTGATGCCATTTTTACAAGACAGCACTGTTTTTGCAGCATCGCGTTTCAAGAGAAGAAGGTCTTACAAGCCAAGAACTAACCTATAAAGAATGGTCGCATCGCAAGTAAAATCAATCCTGGGTGTCGTGGCCCAGAGGAGTACATTTTGCATTCTGAGAAGCCAATCTGGTCATCGTGGACCGGATCCAAGGAACCCGAGTAGTGGTGCATCGAACCGATGCACCTCGTCTGAAACGCGGGGTCAAGAATAGTGTAAAATATGAAAGTCGTTTTATCTAACTACTACGGTATTGTAGTCAGCCGTGTAGTCAAATAGAGCGCATGCAAAACGTGGATGACCCAAAGGACCACGTTACTCTTTGGTGTGATTTGTTTGGCCCTACATTGAATGGTATGAAATGGCAATTTTTGTATCACGTCGTGATTCATTATCTCCCATCCACCATTATCAGTGGCACCACGAAATCGACGGCCACTATTTGGATGGCAAACCGTATACCTCCACAAGGACAATAGATGGCAATGATTGAAAGAGCGAGGAGTCAACTTCGGGAGGATTCGATGTTGACTTCATTGTATTATCTCTTCTTCACCTCCTCCTGAGAAGGGCAAAGCAGTTCTTGTAGTACCGCATTTCTCATTACTGGTACTTACTGTAAGTTGTAGTAGAGGTGAAAGTAAAAGGAAGTAATAGCAACAACAAGTAGGACTTGGTTCTTGTTCTCCTCATGAGGCACATACCAGTACGAGTACGTACGTACTCGTACCGCCAATAATTCATAGATTCACAGACCACCTACGTAGGTACGGTACAGGGTACCGCTATAACCACAATTTGGGGGAAACCACAAAAAGATAAGATTTTAGAACGGGGGGAAGTCGGAGTCTTCGTCCGTACTTCGTGCAGGCATTGTTAACTTTAAAAATGTGAACGCGCGCAAAGGATGTTTGTGTTTGTAGCCGGTAGGCACGATTTCGCCAGTGCTCTCTCTCACCGARCAAAAGTGAGCATCATTTCTCGTTCCAACCGCGTGCGTACCGTATGAAGCTGAACGGGTAGCACAAGTACCGGGGTGCCTCGTAMAGACCTTCCCATCCACGGTTGTGTTTGAATTGGATGCACCACTCATCACCAATCTACAATCCCGCCGTTTCGTCCACTGTGTCTCTTTGGCATCGACAACCATCGCACTGCAAMCCAACAACTCTAACGGGATATCACCAGAAACCAATCGATCGATCCACCATGTCTCTCAGCAACGGAAGCATGGCCTATAACTCCGCCGCGGGCCTGGGTGGAATGCTCAAAGACGGCCACGAACACTTTGCCGACGACGACGGTGGTGGTGCGGTAGTGGCCCGCAGCATTTCCGCCGCCTGCGAGCTGTCCCGAATGCTCTCGTCGAGCCTGGGTCCACAGGGTCGGAACAAGCTCATCGTGAACCACTTGGGAAAACACATTGTGACGAGCGATTGTGCGTCGATCCTGAAAGAAATCGAGGTCGAGCACCCTGCCGCCAAACTTTTGGAACTGGCGGTTCAGCAACAGGAAACGGAATGCGGGGATGGGACAAACCTGGCACTCACCTTTGGAGGGGAGTTGCTCACGTCTACCCTGGGTTTGATGAAAATCATGGGATGGAAGCACAAGACGGACATCATGGAGGGATTTCACCTGGCATCCACCAAATTGCTGAACGAGCTCTTGGTCACCCCCAAAGACGGAGACAATAGTGGATGCGTAGTGGCTAAGATCYCCCATCCCGCTTCCAGTTCCGAAGCGCTCAAGGAATTGAAAGAGAAGGTGCTGCTTCCGGTTTTGGGATCAAAGCAATACGGATCGGAGGGCATCCTAAGTGACTTGATTGTTCAGGCCTGCCAGATCGTCCTGAACGAAGGGGAAACAAATCAGGTCCTGCAGCCCTCATCCATCCGAACGGTCAAAATCTTGGGAGGCAGCGTCGGTCAATCGGCATGTGTACAGGGATTTGTGGCACAGCGGGGCGTCGAAACGACCCGAACGGCTTCGGAAAAGAACGCCAAGATCGTTGTTTACGCCTCTGGTATCGAGGCCAGTTCCACCGAAGCCAAGGGAACGGTCCTGATGAAGAACGCCGACGACCTCAAGAATTACAACAAGACCGAGGAAACAAAGATGGAAGAAATCATCCAGGGAATTGCTCAGTCCGGTGTCAAGGTTGTTGTTACGGGAGGAAACATCAGTGACATGGCCTTGCATTTCATCGAAAAATATGAATTGATTGCTCTGAAACTCTCGTCCAAGTGGGAATTGCGCCGTCTTTGCCAGGCTACGGGAGCCACAGCCCTTGTGCGCTTGGGTGCTCCCACCGCCGAGGAAATGGGTTCTGCCACCACTACGCAAAAGATTGTTGGTGGCCGTACCGTCACGGTCTTTGAAAACGACGAGGACGGGAAGAGCAAGATTGCTACCCTCGTCTTGAGGGCCTCGACCGGAAGCGTCCTCAACGACCTCGAGCGAGCCGTCGGAGACGGAATCCATGCCGTGCAGATGGCGTGCAAGGACGGACGMATCGTCTACGGTGGTGGTGCCTGTGAAATGGAATGCGCCGTCCAGCTGGACCGGTTGGCAGACCAAAACCCCGGATTGGAGCAATACGCCATCCGGGCGTTTGCCAAGTCTCTGGAATGTGTCGGTCGGACCCTTGCCGAGAACGCCGGGTGGGACGCCGTTCAGGTTGTCGCCGACATGCGGGCGGCGCACGTCAATGGTAACGCCGACGTTGGTGTCGACGTCGAAAACGATCCGGGCAGCACGAGCATGAAGGGAACGCCCGCATCCCCCGGTGGAATCTATGACCTGATGTACGTGAAACGATCGGCATTGAAGCTGGCCATCGAGGCAGCCACCACAATCCTCAAGGTCGATCAAATYATCATGTCCAAACGAGCCGGAGGTCCGAAAATGCCGGGGCAATAAAAACAAATCAAAAATACTACATAATTAGAAACAATACTACACGTACTATGAACACGCGGCAGACAAGCCACATTCCTCAGCAACAATAAAYAGTAGAGTACACAACAACAAAGTAGTTGCTTATACGTTATTTGGAATCACAATAGCCTATCAACCGTTTCCTATTCTTCCTTCTATGCATCCGCCGTCACGAAGAATTCCCAGATGGCGCGTGCCAATTCAAGCCAAGGGTCGTAGTCCTTTGGCCAAACCATCTCTGCCGCTCGTTTTGCTTGCTCAATTGCACTACTATCAACATCTTTCGGACCCTCTATGATCGGCAGAGTTGACAAGAGATTGAAATCGAAATACAAACGTCGCGGGCAATGACCCCTGGTGGTTTGCATTTCCACTTCATCGTTGTCGTTCTCATGAATTTCAGAAGTATCACCATTTCTGATCATTGCTGTGGCCGACGACCGACAAGGGGAACTGTGCAGAAACTCGATACTTCCACAATGTGCATCGGCAACCAGTGGAAGCAATTGGTCTTCGATTTCTCTTCGAACTTCTCTTGGAACCCTCCATGGCAGCATATTTGAAGGAGCAACAGTGGATGCAAGAGACTTTGGCGCTTCTAACACAGATGACCCATTGGTAGAGTCTTTGTTCGATTGAGTTTGTTTGGCATCGTAACTGATGTTCCCACTGTGATTTCGAGTAGACCCAGGTAATGTGCAAAAACTCCCTCCTGCGCAGCCCGAAGTAAACTCAGCAGTGGAAGTGGCAACTGCATCGAGAAGGCCTTGTTCTTCTTCTTTTTTTGCAACGTGGATAGTTCGTTCCACTGCGCACTGAACCTTCCCATTCAGAAACCACACACGATAGAGTTTTCCATCTATGGGTTGTTCGTATTGTTGAATCAGTGCCATCTCGTCTTCAAACGACTCAGGGATTCTGATGCTTCTAGTTGTTTTCTTTCTTCCGAAAGAATGTGTCTGGTCACTCGACGAAGAAGCAATCAGCGGCAGAATCGACTGCTTTTCAATCCCGACTCCAAAACCACCAGCGTTCGGCTTTATCAACAATTCGAATCTACCAGCTTCGTTCTGCCGAAATATTCCAGTATCAATCTCGACTGTCCTTTCAGTGGTACGCTCGGAATCCTTGCCATATCCAGTATAGTATACCATGGTTATGGGTGCCGACAGATTTGCTTGCCGAAAAAGTATGTGGTGTCTCCATTTGTTTCCAGCAAGCGAGTAGGCAGTGCTTCCGTTCCAAACTGGAATGTGTAGTACATTTTCGACCACAGCGAGGAGACCGCAGCAGGCCTTGAAGAGTGCCGGGCTGGCCGCATCCGAGACTCGGTTGACGAGTCCAATTATAGAGCTTTTGTCATCATCGTTGGTCTCTACTTTGTCTGAAATCAACCATCCCTTTCCCAGCCAATCTTCCAACGCTATCACATCGATTTCAAATCTATGCTGGGAAGAAGAAGGAGGCGGCGCGGATTCTTTCAATCCTTCAACGAGTTTGGTAATCCAAATTCCATCTTGGTGCTTCCTCAACGTCAGAACAATTAATCTTCTCCGGTCACGTGTTTCAGTGCTCGCTTTCTCGTATTTTTTTGTTTCCATCAGATCCAATCTTGACTTGATTACACCGCCATGTCGAAATACCATCCGACGTCCACCATGATGAATTTTTGCAGAATGCTGTCGAATTCCGAAGAAGTTAAGAACGAAGTTTTTCAGGTGTTGGTGACCACGTACGGTACTCGTAGGCTTGTCTGACTAGCCGTAAAAGAAGTAAGTTACAGTATTTATTTCATCTCGTTTCTCTTGMCGTAACGGTACGAGCACGTACGATGAGTATCGTACGACATCGGCATCAAAGATCTTTCTTTCGTGACTGACGACCTAGTCCCGCAATCGAAGCCGCAGCCCGAACAGTCAAGGAACGTTTAAATCCGTTACRGGTCTGCATCGTATTGGTTGATTACTGGGGTGTTAAAAGTTTCGTTGACTGCAATACTCTAATCGTGTTACCTACACACAGCAAGTCCCATAATCTTAAATGTCTCGCCTCCTAYAAGCTTGATTTCCAATTGTATTTTATGAGCGGCATCCACCGGTTGGAATTCAATCTCTTCTGTATACATTTCGCTTGTGTTTTTACTGTGGGTCCCCAACATATTGCGTTCTACCAACAGTACTTGTTGTTGATCCGATGATGAAGGCGTAGACCAAACTTTTGCATTCAACTCACTGTTTTCCCATTTGGTTCCGTATGATTTCATGAAAAAAAACGTAACGGACCGAATCTTTTGGGAATAGTCAAAGTCCAATATTATTTTTGAATCAGCGTCCTTTGCAACTCCTGGTGACGGAACAAATCCYAGTTTGTCCTTGTCTTCGCTTAGTTCCCATCCCTTCCATGTASTTGATTGYTCTTCAAAATATTCCCTGACAAAGGTGACATTGTTTTGTTGCAGCGAAAGGCCGGCAACCCACGAAAAAGGGCATTTCACGACGTGTTTGGTTTGGTCGGAATCACAATCATTGCTAGAGGCAGAGTCACTTTGTTGCCTCCACAGAGATGTAACGTCTTCCAAAAGTAGATCCTTTGTGAGTTCTGGTGGTAGTCCCTTGGGCTGCGGTTGCGGTCTCCCGTCGGGTTCCTTGAATTTCTTGTTTAGTTCGGGAAGTCCCCACATACCGGCTTGGTAATTGTTGATATTGTTGCTCGCCTGATGAGCAAGAACATCCGTAGGAAGGCTACAATATGTGGATGCTAGATGAAGCAAGTTATAAGCTGTAACCCACACTGACGAGATGTGCATGCCCATGCCGGGATGAATTTGACGATCAAAGATTAGATTCTTTCTTTTTTTCTCCTTCACCCACCATTCCGAASTAAACCATTTTTCGTAGGTGTCGCCATARACAAATTCTCGAATAAGATCGGCGTAACTCATACTGACAAAGCCATAGTAATTCGCTAAAACTTGTACACCCTGTGTCAATTCCGTCGTTTCCCATATTTTGCGCTGTTCGTTACCGAGATAGTCATCCATGTGAAGCAATAGGGGTGGGATAGGTTCGTTGTTGCTGTCGGTATYGCTGCCACTGTTGCTTGTCGGGCAACGCACAGTTCCCATAATTTGCCGCACAAATGATTGCATCATTTCAAATGTTCTATCACGCAGTGTAGTATTCGAAGACTTGGCTTCCAGGACGGTCAAAATGTGCAAGTCGTTTGTCGAGTAAGCATTGAGCACAATATCTGGATTACGGGCTTCCTCCGGAATCAAATCGTACTGCCATATCACAGATCCCGTCGCCGTGTTGGTTCCTCCCATGGCTACCTTGGTGACTTCGACAAGTTTTTCCGTCCGTTCTTCCTTGTAATCACCGTCACCTAAGAAAAATGCATTGAGAAATTGTCCCACACGAAAGCCCCAGTTACATTCTCGTTTGGGCATACGGAATTGAAAATTGAGTTCCCTCATCATCATCCGACAGTTTGTGCCGACCAGCACCGAACCCCCCATGATGAGAATCTTGAGGGGTCGTGGTTTGTTTTCGGGGTCGATCGCATCTCGTTCCTTTTTTGGAAGCTGTAGGTATTTGTATCTTTCCCAAGCCACCGTAAGAGTGTTCTCGACCGGCCTCCAGTCGAATGGTGCGGTCTTAACGGACCGGGGCAGACGTGGGGAAACAATCTGAAGGATCTGAGCTGTGAAATCGTGAAACTGAAACCGGTTATCGGCTGCGACCCGAGTGGCGGCAAAGATTTTCGGTATGTGTTCGTTCCAGAGCGCCATGGCGCTTGGCGCCGGATGAGGGAGCACCGATTGGCAAAAGGGATGGTGGTTGGTGTTTGCAGAATTCTTGGGTATAGTAGMGAGTKWAGAAAGGGAAGATTTGTAGTCTTCTTTTGCATCGTCTTTCTTGTGACAGGAATCTTCCAGTCGACGAATTGTTTCCGAAGAAGTGTTCTCCTTCTTTTCCAATTCCTGCGCTTTGCTTTTCCAACGCTTTGCCTCCTCCGTCGCTTTTTTCAAGAGATTGCGAATTTCGGTATCATTTTTGTTGGATCTATTGCTATTCGGACCAATACGATCGTGGTTTATAGCCAATGGCGCCGTTCCAATCGARTCATCATTTTGTTGAAAAAATCCAGAAATGCCAATTCCGATGTATAGACCAACGAGCACGAAAAAACAGGAATGGACAATCGTTATAGCAGAAACGCCCATGTTGGCTACGCTGCTTCTTTCTATTGGGTTCCGCTCGTTGAGGAACTTTAATCTGGTCGACAGTGCGTGGTAGTGCTAAGTGATGAAATAATGATCGTTGTACTAGTAATGATAATTGTTGGGTTCTGTACTTCGTTTTCTGATTTTTTCCGGAATGCAGGACGATAATTTTTTCCAGGGCCCAGAAAATGACGGAGAACGATTACGAAGGAAAATAAAGTACGGTAGGGCCGTACTGATAGATGCGTCCTCTTAGTGGGTACGTACCATATGATACATACCGTACCTGATATTGCAGGTGATCTGAGTTTGGGATGTTGAAACCTATCCTAATACACATTGTACACATTATACATACTACTATTATGTAATCGTATTGTTGATGACACTTGCAATCCGCATGATAACAGGCTTTCCCGAAAACTAGAAACTGCTAATTAAATTTTGAAAGGCCTCACAAAACATGATCAGTTTTTTGTACTGTATTTTTTATTCGTTCGGTCAAATGAGCCTCAATAAGAAAGTGGATTCTGTTTTAGGCTTTTCCGACTGCTTTGGATCGTTCCGAGTTACCCGTAAACTTCTAAAAAACCAAAGTCAGACTTTTGTTGCGTTGCCCGTCGCTTATTCGAAAAGGTGAAGCCTCAGAAATCCTGTAACGGCCTCTTTCGCGACAACAATACAAGTGCCGTCACCACTAATTTTATGGACCATATGGTGTTCACGAATCGGATCGGGCACAGGTACTACTCGTACTCGTACCCTCCACCAAAAYCAAAAATCTTGCCGAGGGAACAAGGTGTAGGCCTTTTGTCACATTTTCGAGAGAAGACCCTTGGCAGCCAAAGGTCACAGTCAAGTACAACAAATATTTTTTGAGGCAGCACGAAAGACTACTTCTACCATGGTGGCMATCGAGGAGATCAAMGAGGAAGAGACGCAGGAGGCCCCCGAGGTCAAGCCCAGTGTTCCTCCCATCCCGGTAACTCTACTATCTGGGTTCTTGGGCGCCGGTAAAACGACCCTGCTCAAACATATTTTGCAATCGGACGAACACAAACTGAAAATTGCCGTCATTGTAAACGACATGGCCGAACTGAACATCGACGCGGCCTACATCCAACAGCAACCTCACGAAGGTGAGGAAGGCAATGAGGGAGTGGAGAACGAGGAAGGAATCCAAGACAAACTAAAGAAGATATCCATTGTTCAAACAGAGCGCGAAGTTGTCAAGCTCCAAAACGGATGCATCTGCTGCACACTCCGCGGAGATCTGGTGCGTGAAATTGCCAAGTTTCGCAACGACGAAGGCGGCGGTAAGTACGATTACGTTCTCATCGAATCCACGGGGATTGCCGAACCTCAGCAAGTGGCGGAAGGCTTTGTATTCGACCCGGCAACGGCCCAGCTCGCGGAATCTGAGAACGACATGTTGTGGAAACAGGCTCGGCTCGACACTTGTGTCACCGTGATGGATGCGCATTCGATATTGCAACACTTCACGTCCTTGAAGCAGTTTAGCGATCAATACGACGACGGGTTTGATTCCACCACTGAAGAGGGACGAAAAGAGGGGACAAAGAGCATTGCGAACTTGATGGTGGATCAGGTCGAATTTGCGAACGTGATTTTACTGAACAAGACCGATTTGGTGACTCCCGAAGAACTGGCTAAGAGCATCGAGATCATTCGATCCCTCAACAGCAAAGCCAAAATTATCCCCACCAAAAACTGCAAGGTCGCCCTGAGCGAAATCATCAATACAGGCAAGTTTAGCATGGCGGAAGCCATCCGATCTCCCGGCTGGTTGGCTGCCCTTCATGGTGACACTACCGATGGCGTCCATAGCGAAGCGGACGAATACGGTGTCACGTCTTTTGTCTATCGGGCTAGGATTCCATTCCATACGAAGAAACTTGCCCAATTCATGGACGACATCATGCACTTTGCGAACGAATGGACCGAATTGCCACCAGAAAAACGTCAGCAGGAGTCCGATGAAAGGTACGAATATATGGTCTCGCACTACGGAAACATTCTCCGCGCGAAGGGCTTTTGTTGGCTGGCAGGGAAAGATAGCTACCTCTTTGGAATTGCCATGACCGGTCGCATTGGTAGTCTACAGGGTATCATGCCATGGTATACGCTGATTCCCCGTGAACAGTGGGGTGTCAAGGAAGGATCCGAAGACTATGAGATCATCAATTCGAGATTCGAAGAGCCTCACGGGGATCGCCGGCAGGAAATCGTCTTTATTGGCACGGACCTAAAGGTTGACAAAATTCGCGAGCGACTGGACAGTTGCCTCTTGAACAAAAAGCAACTCAAGAAATACAAGTTCTACAAGGATGATGGATTCCCGTGAGCAGAAGATGCGAACTATTGATGAGGTGTTCAAACCGGTCGTCATTCGACAAAATCGCAAGGGTCGTGAAGTCACAGCCAATTTCAATGTACATGATGTCTGATGATTTTATGAGTTTGTCTGATTTTTGTGTTGTCAGCACCCTTCCTCGAAACCGGACACTYGTCTTTCTTTCCAATGTAAAAAACAAACATWTTAATTAGAAGAGCATGTTTTCATATATTGGTTCTCGTGCTAGAAACGATTAGTAGCGTTTCATCGTTACTGTTGCTTCTTACTTGATTGGGTCCACTCTCCCCTATTTTATACTTCGAAGAGAATAGTCATGTGTGTCGCCGATAACAAAGTTGGGCTTCTAGTTCAAACGGCACACCTCAACTGCATCTCACATATCGAACGATTGTTTGTTTACGTTTTAGCATAGAAAGCCAGATGCAACTCTTCTAAGCAAGCAATGACGACAGCCACGTTCTGTGTTGGTGAAATTGTTTGGGTGCMTGTCTGAGATACGAAATTATTTGGTAGTCCCTTGACAAGATGCAACCATGTGATATATGATTTRTTTCTGCATGCGGCCTACGATATGTGTACCCTTGCTCAAGTCCTTTCTTTTTCTACGATTCTTCTGCATCTTCTTCTGTCTTCAAAGCTAGAATGAACTAGGCGGAGGAGGACCGTGAAACACCACCATATAGAATTTTCTTAACACCTCCGCTTATACGTTCCTTCACCATCATCATCAGAGCCGCGCTCAAAATACCACGTGTCAGCTCCGGCCCCAGACCCTGGTACAAGGCCTTCCATCCCCCCTGTCTAAGGGTCTCCGCCAGCAATTGCCAAATGGTTTGGGGGGGAGCAGCCACGACCGGCGAGGGTTTTTCGGTGCTGCTGCTCCCCAGCGAACTGCAGCCCTCGGAGCGAAGAGATTCTCTCTTGGCCAGGCTCTGCATCCGAACCTTGGCCCGGACAAATGGAAAGACGACCAGCGTTGCTACTGTGCGAGAAAACATGCCCAAAAGGAAGGCCTCCGASGCCGAGAGCTTTGTCGGTTCTTGGCCTGCGACGAAATGTTGCGGTGGTGTCCCTCCTCTCGGAATGCTTCGCAGCTTACATATCCAGGCTTTGACTTGTTCGAATATCGTGTACTGAAGAGCAGGTTTGAAACACAAAATCCAATAGGCTTGAATGCCCTTGTAAAATGATTTTTGCTTCCAGAGCGTCATCCACAGGGCCAAGACTGTTTCCGATTTCTGACGATCTCTGGYTGCACTTTTGTGCATCGCGTGCTTGTTAGAACCACCTGAAGTCTGAATGGCGGTTGTCAGGGCATCGATGGGAAGGGTGATGGGCAAATGAACCCACTCGGCGAGACACCCCAAGAGCACACTTGCCATTGCGGAAGGCTGTTGTTGTTTTGGACTGCCATTTTGTCTCGTTCTTCTCCTCACTGTCAGATGTGTATAACTTCGTTTGAGTGCGGTGTATGCGAAGAAATACAGGGCTTTCTCGATTGCCGATTGAAGAGCAGAGACCTCCATGCCATCGAAAAAGACGCCAATTCCTTCGGAACTATAAATATTCCGTGCATAGTCCAGAGAGTGAGTCGCCGGTTTGGGCTTGTTATCGCCGATGTCAACGTCCTCCCCGCCTTCTTTCTGGTGACTCTTACCATCTCGAGGCAAGTCACAATGAGAATTATTTGTGTCGTTAGTACTGCCATCGCCCTCGGCTTGCATTCTTGTTTTTAGAACTTCCATTGGGTACAATGCTCCCGAGCTGATTGCACCTCCCACTGCCGCGGCAAGCGCTTCCGACGCAATAGTATCGTTGATTGACATGGCATTTGATTTTCTGCTGCCCACTAGATTGTTTGCAGAGATTACTATTGAGGTGACTTCATTCAGCAGCACCGATGTATGCAACTACCAGGTACCAAGTACGACACCATACTGTACARTGTTAGTTGCGACAAGTTAGCTCATTTTCTAGCAGTTTCATCTTTAAAATGATGGCATTCCCTCGGCATTCCTACGTACCGTAGTAGAAGTACTCTTTACTACGCGTAAAATAACARTTGGTTGCGGCCGCCGCCGTTGTTTTTTTTTTTGGAAGGACAGTGGCGGCCAAAAAAACTTACCATGGTGCAAAAACTAGGTTATTGCTACTACTAGTAGTAGAATGACTTGTTGTCACAACAACGACTGAATGTTTAAGTTAAAAATGAATATTCTAGTTTTGGTCAAAGTACTAATTTATTTGCAAAAAATGGTATACCAGGGTTTGTACAAAYCCACACTAAAAACAAGTTTCTTTTTGTTTCCTCTGTMAGTCCCCCAGGGCTGTAAGAATTCTTCTTCAAAGTTACTGGCTACCGCGCACTAAAGTTAGTGAAGTGCAGTGCAGTGCACTGTAGCCAATTGAAACTATGTTGATTGAGGCATTGGGAACGTTGATTTAACATTCCAAATGTTACCAGCTTAGGCTGCGTAGAAATGAGTACTGTAGTTTTTGCTTCAATTTAACGTCATGAATGCTTTGCTTCTGAACAGTCTAAATATTCAAAGGGGAGGTGTCCTCTTCTTCCTCTTTTTTAGATCCCTTCTTCCTTTTTAGGCACATACAAGACTGTTTTGCTACCAATTGAAGAATGTGGATAATACTAGGGTCTACGTAGGCCTACACAATAAATTTCTTAACATTCTGAATGTTAAATTAACATTCGGAATGTTAACAAATTAACGTTCCCAATGCCTCAATTAATGTAGTTTCAATTGTTATTTTACACCTAGTACTATGTAACCGTTGAGTAGCACCGAAATTAYATGTAACCATGCACGCTTGGTTACTGCACTGGTACATGATTTGTTGAGCAAATGGAGCATACAAAGAACACTACTAGTTATTTTTTGCTTAAGTACTACATGCATCTCAACTGGTTACAAAGCGCCGGACTGAATTTTGTAACCAGAATTTGTAACCAAACCCTTCCCTAAGGATAGCCATTATTTTTTGCACGATACTACTAGTAGTGTGGTTACAAAAAAAAAGGGTCTGGTTACCAAAAAAAAGTGCACAGAGTGCTTTGTGCGCGCTTGTAACCAGGCAAACGCACCTCAACAGGTACTACACTGTCAAGTACAAAAAAGAAAATTAAGTGGGAACTAGTACAAACTCATGTAGAAAATTCAGTAGAAATCAAATTTTCCTCCCAGTGAGTGTCCTCTGTATCAGCAACTCATATCGTATCTGCGGCTCCTCCATATATTCCAGTACAAACGTTTGTAGAAAACACCGTAGAAATATTGATTTGCAAGGGGAAACAAGCAAAACACCACCAGCAGAATGCCGTGTTGTATCAGCAGCTTGTATCAGTGTCCTCTGTATCAGCAGCAGTTTGCTCCTCTGCATCGTATCAGCATCCTCCTTATCAGCAACCGTCCTCCGTATCAGTGAGCGTCCTCTGTATCAGCATCCTCCGTATCATTGAGCCTCTGTAAAGCAGTAACCAAGCGTGCATGGTTACATGGAATTCTGGTGCTACGCAATCAGTTACATAAATAACTGTGGCATGGCACCAGTCCCATGCCACAAGTATCTTCAACACTAACAACAACAAGCTCTGATTTACATAGGCCTGGTACAAGATCGTACCAGGAGAACATCAAAAAACCCTGTATTCCTACATGATGTACATAGGCTTAGTAGTACAAGATGGTACCGGAGTATCACTTTTAAAATGCATCATTCAGTAGAATTTGTACTACTACATTCTACTATCATCATGCTGCTTTTTTTGGATTTCACTCACAAAACTGCTGCAGCTGCAATATTCATTATTTAGTAAATCTAGCTCACTTTCAAAGGCTTGACCAGCATGGGAATAGGCCTCCTTTGAAGAACTGTAAGTGTCCTTTGTCAGCATTGTTGTCCTCCGTGTCAGTGTCCTCTGTATCAGGAGTGTTGTCCTCCTTATAAGTGTTGTTGTCCAGTCCATGTCAGCGTCCTTGGTATTGGTGTTGTYGTCCAGTCCATATCAGCAACTTGTATCAGTATCCTCCATATCAGTGCTGTGCTTCGTATCACCGTCTACCGTATCAGTGTTGTTTGTTGTTTGTTTCAGCAACCAAACTACAAGCACTGCCCCCTCCGATATACTAGGGGAATGGGCTCTTATCCCTCCCTGGATCATCATCATCCTCCATATCACCAGCATCCTCYGTATCAGCATCATCTGTATAAGCAAGAAGCCTCTGTATCAGCRACTGGCATCAGCAACTTGTATTAGCGTCCTCCGTATCAGCATCCTCCAGCATATCAGCATCCTCCGGCATATCATTATCCTCCATATCAGTGTGCCTCCGTATCAGCATCCTCTGTAACAGTGACTCGTATCAGCATGCATCCTCTGTATCAGTGAGCCTCCGTATCAGCAAGCGAGCCTCCATATCAGCGTCCTTTGCGTGTATCAGCATCCTCCGTATCAGCGTCCTCCGTATCAGAGTCCTAGAGTATGAGTATGCATGGTCATGATCATGCATTTGTTCTTTCTTCCTGCTCTGTTGGATCTAGTATGAGGTATATGGCAATCCCTAGTAGTATCCCTAGTTGTCAATCTTTATTCCACAACACCAGCAACTCACAGCATCATCGTAGATAGCAGTAGAGAATCGTACTGGAAGTACATAGTAAGAAGATAGTACCAGAGTACCACTTTCATTTTTGTCCATTGAGCCATTTTCAAACCCTCATTTTTTCATTTACTTAGGGTCTTGAGACGTGCTTGACYGTGCAAAAATTGGATTACTGAAGTACATAGTAGTACCAGTACCGGTACTTAGTATGGTACATGGTATGCATGCATGGTACTTTTTGTCTCTCAGCCAACCGGAACATCCTATGCAATCCTTCAGTACCTAATCCAAGGGATCTAAGGTACCTACCATACAGTATGTACGTACTTGGTTACAGTATGAAGTGAAGTACTTCCTCCGTCCGGAAATGATTGTCCCCTAACAGACTTGCTACTGGAATAAGCTCAATACTTGGGCTATTTAATTCCTTCTTTTTGCACTTATAAGATCTATTATCAGAGTATACATTCATGAAGATGTCATATAGTCAATGTGTCTGACGTACTTGCGATAGTTGCTTAAAGGGACCCAGTTTTAGCATATGATTTTCAATTTACGGGTTGAAAGGGTTCTACCGGTCATTTAACTACGGGAATGGTGGCTATAGAAAGCTGAGAGTGAGAGCTTTATTATCATATGCTTATCGTGCTTATTGAGAATGTTCTTATGCAGTCATAGTAGGTCGCAAGAGAGAGCAAAAAACTGCTCGGGCGTATTCGGGCGTGTGCAGTTTTTTTCAATTTTGAGCTGGAGAACCAATGCGAAGAGAAAAAAAAGTGCTGTGCGCATGCGTCAAAAATGATCCCCGTGTTATTTTCACGTGATAATTTTCACTCTTGATTCACTCACACCTCCCAATTTCCTCTCTTCGATTCACTTCTTTCCATTCAACTGACTAAGACCGGCTTCTTTGTTATCCAAGCCTTCTTCGCACCTCAAGTGACTCATTGAGCCAACGCGCCTCCACCGCGGGGGGAGGGGGGGAACGCGTCTCCGTTGGCTCCATCGACCGGTCCGCGTCTCCGTTGCTCCCACTAATAGGGGATCCATCGACTCGCTGGCGCCTCCATCGACAGGGGGGAGACACGTCTCCATTGAGACCGACTCGCGTCTCCAGCATTGCTTCCACAAAGAGGGAATCGCGCCTCCGTTGCTGGAAGCAAAGCAAATCGCGCCTCCGTTGCTTTCACCGATTCAACAATCAACCAACGGTCGTGTTGCTCTCTTTGTGGTGCCTTGATTCGCTGCTTGTTTTAACTCACTTTTCCCCCCCTTGGTTCTTTCTAAAGCAATTCAACTAACAGCAAGAAGATGGTTGGTGTTACTGCAAGCGATACTGGAGGAGCAAGCGATACGGCAAACGATACGGCAAGCGATACTGCTGGAGGAGCAAGCGATACGGCAAGCGATGATACGGCAAGCGATGATACGGCAAGCGATGATACGGGAACTGATACTACGGGAAGCGATACTGCAAGTGATAGCGATGCGAGCCCACGAAAGCTCAGGCTTTTAACGGACAACGAAAGAAGCGCAGTTCTCCAGTTCCTCCTGCAAAATCTAAGGAGTAGTGGTGAAGGCAAGCTTCTCAGGAGGGGAGCTGTTAAGGATGCTGCACTACAGTTCAACATGTCAACCAAAACTATCTCAAGGCTTTGGAAACGGTACAAGGAAACTTATGATCCAATCAACTGTCCTGCTGGGAATGTCTCCAGCAGAAGACACTTAAGTGGTCGCAAGCAAAGGCCACTGTCGGATCTGGATGCACTCCGCACTGTTGTGCACAAAGACAGAGGTGATCTACGCACTCTAGCGGCTGTTACTGGGATTCCTAGGTCAAGTTTACATGAACTTGTTCGACGGGGGAGTATAAAAAAGCACAACGGAAGCACAAAGCCCTTGCTGACACCTGCGAATAAACTTAAAAGAGTCGAATGGATCATGAAACATATTGATCAGAACGGTAAGTTTGACGACTGGTTCAAGTGGATCCACATTGACGAGAAATGGTTTTATCTAAAGCGGACAAAGCAGACCACTTATCTGCTACCAGACGAAGCTGAGCCCAAGTCTACGTCAAAGTCGAAGAACCATATGACGAAGGTGATGTTTTTGTGTGCAACAGCCCGTCCACGTTGGGATACGAACAATTGTGCTTGGTTCGATGGAAAGATTGGTATTTGGCCCTTTGTCGTCAAAGAACCAGCCAAAAGATCGTCTGTGAATCGCCCCAAAGGAACCTTGATTACCAAGCCACAGAACGTTAATGGAGAGGTGTACAAACGGATGTTGCTTGAGAAGGTACTGCCTGCGATCTACGAGAAGTGGCCGAGGGGATCTACTACTCCGGAGATTTTCATTCARGAGGATAATGCAAAGCCTCATAAGGCTACTATCAGGAACGAGGTGAAAGCAGCTGCAGCTAGCAAAGGTTGGAACATTACTGTGRAGACTCAACCACCAAACAGTCCGGACATGAATGTACTTGACCTTGGATTCTTCAATTCAATTCAAAGCTTACAGTATAAGAAGCGCTCAAAGGATATTGATCATCTGATTGCGAATGTGAAGGAAGCGTTTAATGAGTGCTCACGTGAAACATTGAATAATGTGTTTTTGTCGCTTCAGGCTTGTATGGAAGCGTCTCTTGGTGTAGAGGGTGATAACAACTACAAGCTTCCGCATATGGGCAAAGCAAGCCTAATGAGAGAAGGTACCCTTCCGATTTCGATCATTTGTGATCCTGATCGCATCAATGCGGGACGTACACTACTTGCCAACAACACTGCAGGCGGAAGAGTAGTAGTTAACCAGTAGTAATATTATTTAGTTGCAATCAATTTAACAGTGAAAAGATGTTTCTGGTAGTGATTGGGCAGTATCCTACTGGGTACTTAGTTAGGGGACTATCATATCCGGACGGCCAAAAAGGAGTCACGGGACGGTCATTTCCGGACGGAGGAAGTACTTCTACAACTTTTGAATTTCATAACAATTTAAGCTAAAAAATAAGAATAACGGTAGAGCTGGCGATCAATGACTTCCTTGATGTCTTCACTCATACCGGTACACTACTCTTTTCTGATCAACATCGTGTCAAAAAAGCTTGTTTAAACCGAACATATTGCATCGAATTCTTTTCATTACTGTCGTAAGGTAATTATGCGTACTACGTTCCGTTTCTGTAATTTCTTATCGTTCTGATTACGGGTTCGGGTACGTCATCGTCGCACTCGTGCATACGCTGAGACACACATAGCGAAAGGATACCAATARCATATGACTATCTACCATCTCATCCCCGCTACGTCCCCGAACTCACACTGAACTTTGTACCAAAGATCTAGTCATCATCATTGTAGTACATGGAATTTATATTTTTATCGGATTTAGTAGAGCACAGCTGCATCGTAGGCAATGGCAATGTTTGGATCACTGATCACCGTGGAAGGTGGGAAAGGTTTGGCTAATTTCTTCCGAATGACGTCGACAAGATTCCAAACACTCCCCATGCATGTTCATACCTACCGTTACCCACCACCAAACTTAGTATTCTTCATGACTGTTCGACGAGATATCTTCTCGACGACAGCCAGTCAAAAGACAGAAATAAGGAGCTGCTATAAAAGTAACCGGTCGCCATCTCCGTTTCGACATGATCGAGAGCGAGGAAATGGGGACAACGGAATCGAAAACAATGCAAAATGTTCTAGCTGCAACAGCTTCTACGGAGGCAGTGGCGACGACAACGACAGGGGAAGTAATTCTGTCGTCCGGCCGTATAGCGGCTCGTTGCCGTCGCCTGGACACGAATGGTGCAAGCGGTGCAACATCCCAGACAAGCGGTTTCAAATGAAAATAGGATCAACCAACAAATGCCTAGATCGGCCGAGGATCTTTGGTTTGGGGATCTGCCACGAAGCAAAGCAATATTATCGCCAGCAATTGTACGTTCTCGCTTTTGTGGGAACCTTTTGTTTCTGCGGAATATTTACGGTTTGAGAACGAATGAATGATTGGGTGGACGGGTGGACGAATCAAACAGCGGAAGACGTCATCAAATTTAGCTTTGCCGCTCGGTGCGTCATTTGGGCCTCGTAGTGCTAACCATATTACGCTTTGTTCTGTAAGGGAAAACATTGGGAATAGCTTAAGAGTAAGGGAGTAGAATCCTTTGATGCCATTCTTTTTTGACCTCCATGTTATTCGTATTATTTGTTATTTGAAGGAAAAACTATGGGAAAGCTGTAGAGTAATGGATTATGTCTTGATTGGGTATGAGATCTCTTAAAAYACCATTGATATTGTAAGCACCGTCAGCCGAGAGAAGGAACAGTCGAAGATATAAGATACTGTAGTTTCGATCCATCAATTATCGTTATTTTAAATCAAGATGAGATTCCTATTTGCCCGTTTCCCATTTACCCGTGGCCTGCAGTTGGACCAATCAAGCAAAGTCAAATAAGATGTCAGAACAACATCACGAAAATTGATATCCATGGAAAGATAACTCTACTGACCTACTGTATTTAGGAGATTTATGTCAGTAAATAAACTTTGGTTTCTACTAGAAAGCATTGTCTAAAACAACATGAACACATGGTAATTGAAGTTGACACAGGATACAGTTCGCTCGCATTTTTACTCTTCTTTACAGGCGAGATGCTGCACATCGAAGCGGGTCTCTGGTGAATACACACTCACAAATTCCTCCGGAACAGCAGTGGGTACAACAAGGGCATGTTACTTGAGGACAATCTGCCCAAGCGGTAGCCTCGTTTGTATCAATGATTCCGCAAACTGCTGGAGGAACTTGCCCCGTTAAATCGTTCACATCGATGCGGAAAACACGCAGCTTTGTAAGTCGCGCAAGAGAGTTTGGCACAGTTCCAGCGATTCGATTTCCTGAAACACGGAATTGTCGGAGTTCGGTCAATGCACCCAATTCTTCAGGTATGGAACCAATCAATTGGTTCGTCGACACGTCGAAGCCATCTCGCAGATTTGTAAGTTGGCCCAACTCCGACGGAATTTGAAAGCCGAAGTTGTTGTCCGAAATGAAAAAACCTTCCAAATTCACCAATTTGCCAAACTCGGTGTGGATGGTACCCAAAATCTTATTGTTACTCGCTGAGAAGGTCCTCAGATTCTTTAAATCACCAAGCGAGCGAGGCAGAGACGTGAGCTCGTTCGAATCCAACTTCAATACTTCGAGACTTCTCAGGTCACCTATGGTACCTGGAACAGCTCCGACCAAGGAATTATCTTCCAAGACAAGGCTTCTGAGAGTTGAGATTGATCCCAATTCTTCAGGAACAGTCCCAGAAAATTGGCAATCTCCAACATCCAACAGTTGCAACGATGAAAAGCTGGCAAACAAAGCACCCGGCACAGTACCTCTGTAACCATTCCCATTCAAGTTAAGTTCTGTAAGACCTGTCTCACTCAGCTCAACTGGGATTGCACCGGATAGAGAATTTCCTGGCAAGGACAATTCTCTCAACGAGGTTAAGAGTCCAAATGTTGTTGGGATTGTTCCGACTACATTTTGTGCGGATAGACCACGAATATTGATGGCCTCTAAACTATTCGAAAGCAAACCAAGCTCTGGTGGAAGAGTTCCGACAACATCGTTAGCGCCGAGAACCAAATTAGCAAACAAACGGTCGGAGTTACAAGCGTTTACTCCCGCTGTGTACCATGTACATTCATCAAAATCACTCAGCCAGCGATTGTTTTCACKCCACGCATCGCCATTGGCAGAGTAGTAGAAGACTGCCAAGGTCCAGCGATAGAGTTGTTTCTCTGGACTATAAAATTGGAGATTTTCGTTGCCTAACAACCATTTCAAAGCTTTCGACTGAGCAGAGTCTGGATCTTCAAATGTAGCTGCTGCTGTAGTTGGCGCTGATGCACGAATTATGTTTGCCCTTACAGGTTCAGAGGAAGTAGGACTCAACGTAGGAGGAGAAATTGTTGGGGTCTGTGTTGGAGCTTCATTAGGAGGCTCCACAGGAGATATGGTTCCTGGAAGTGGCGGTAATATCGGGGGAGCAGGATTTGGGGCAAATGTCATAGGATCGTTTGAAGTGTCTTTCTTCTTGAAATCGAAAACTGCCAAACCAATCCCGATTCCACCTCCGATTCCGATCAACAAAAGAAGWACTCCGATCAAAACACAGCCAACCTTGCGCCTCGTCGTAGTATCTCTATCATAGACAACCTTTGGTTTCTTGGGCTTCGATTTTCTCTCATAACTTCTTCCTGATCGTTCTCGTTGCGATTGAACATATTGGTTGATTTCAGAGTTCGTCATTCCTTGCTCCAAGTCTGTTCCACTTGGTACAGAGCCAGTAGCTCCTACACCCGCTGCCGATCGTGTAACTGATTCATCAACATTAAAATCTCCAGCAGCATCCTTACCCTGTCCGTCTTGTAGAGCAGACCAAACAGCTCCGCTTGCATAAGTGAATTCATCATATGAGGCCTCTTCACCTCGTGCACTTCGAGAAGTTGCTCCTGTTTTCTTACCRCTGTCGCTGTGGTCTCTAGCGAGTGACTCCAGCATGCTCTCTGCATCGAAAGAGCTATCTTCTCCTGATTCGTCTGATTCCTCATCAGAATGTGCTTCCCGTGGTGAAGATTTCAGTGCCGAGCCTTCCGCACCATTCAATATCTCCGAAACTTTAGGCGCAAGTTGGTCATCTAAGTGAGTCGCCGAATCTCGGTTGACAGATCCAAGTAGGCCACGCGTCTCCAACGTAGAGTTGTCCTCGGAATCATCAAGATTATCACTGTCGCTGTCACTACTGGAGTCGTCGGAGGAGTCAGATACGTCTGCATCCGAAAAGGTGTCTTCTGATTCATCATCATCTGATTCAACACTTGTTGGCATTGAGATCAAAGATCTATCTTTCGTCCGAGCAGATGATGAGTCGACAGACGACTCTRCTTCTTCCTCCTCTGGTTCATCTTTCGCTTTCTTCGGAGATTTGTCTTTTTTCTTTGATTTCTCCTTTATCGTTGAAGCTGATTCTTCAGTATCCTTCGATTCATCCTTCGATTCATCCTTCGATTCGTCCTTCGATTCGTCCTTTGATTCGTCCTCTGGTACTTCTTTCGATTTCTTCGGAGATTTGTCTTTTTTCGATTTATCTTTCTTCGATTCTTTGGCGGAAGATTTCTCTTCGTCACCCTCTGATGCTTCCAATGATCTTGATTTCGACGCCTTACCTCCTTTCTTTTTCCCATCTGAACTAGAACCTTTGGAAGAATCTCCTTTCGTTTTCCCATCTGAACTAGAATCTTTGGAAGAAGATTTCTCTTCGGTTTCTTCATCCGATCCATCATCAGAACCGTCCTCGGAACCATCCTCAGAACCATCCTCGGAACCATCCT